AAGCTGCTCGCTCTACTGTACAGCACAGAACTGCAGGGAAATCTGCGGGTGCACACGAGTTTAGCAGCAAAACCCTCTAACGACTTCCCGAGGGCTGCGACTGTAGTCAAGTTACCGTTTAAATGTTTATTGTATAAGAAAATGACGAACTAAAACTTCAATTCCCCAACACTGTAAACTAATGACATCATATCCACGGGTCTGGGGGCCTCATCAAGCAGCCATAAAGTGTAATAAAGCACAATGAAATGTGATTTTCACACGGTGCCACTCATTTCCATAAGCCCTGCATTTACTAGCCTCACGTGACGCCTCTGTGTCTCAGCGGGTTTGTAGAATGTGGAGCTCGTGCAGGAGCGGAACGTTTTCACAGCTCCATTTTCATTAAGTGTCATTAGAAATTCAATTCCCAGTAAATGACTTTTTAGAATTTCACAGCAGTCCCTTAAGATGTTCCTGACGTGACCCACTTTTGTCTCGAGCAGCACGGGCTGCATCGCCACAGTTCATCTGACTGTGGGTTTTTCAGGCTGCACGCTAAAGATCGTCCGACTCAGCACAGGGGACGTCCAGTCATTTGGATTCAAAGTCCCACAGCGGGTTCTGTCGCACAATTGTAAACAATAATTAGTGATTAGCAACTTCTATATATATGCTGTATATATATATATACGACTGTCGAATACACTTCAATGGTTAGAAGCAGAAAGAATATTAACAGTGACACTGCTACCCTGGGAAGCAATGTGCATTTCTACCCTGGAGTCGAGTGATTTTTTCTGTTGCAACATGATTCACACAGATCACAGGCTGATTTTCACAAACGCATTAACATAAATTCCTCTCTGGATCTCGCTCCAGGTGCAAACACACCATACATCAACAGCTAAGCACGCTGAGATTATGTTCTGTGATCCGCCCCATCTGTTAATGGGCCCGTGACGGAAAACCGGCGGATCTGTCTCGGCTCCCCTTCGGAGTCGGGGCAGAAAAGTGGGTGCGGTGTAACTTTGAGCGTGAAACGAACACACTCACGTTTTCTGTCTGCGCAAACGAGGCTTAATGAAGGCGAAGGCGCTATAAATCTGGAGCTCCGCCTTTTTCAATTTTCTGCTTCAGTGAGCGTCCAATGGGATCAGGGGGCCACCCCATCACCGGGAAATACCCCCACAGGGCGATGACATCACATGTGTAGTAATGCAACACGTATGACTTGTGCTTATTTTTTTGCTTTTTTTCTAAAGCAAATTAAATCATATCGAAAAAGTAGATATGGGCGATAAACGAAAAAGAAAGTGAACTAGCAGGACCCCGGAGGAAAGGTCAGACTCCTGGGTGTTATTCCAACAGAAATCACTCTATTCACCTCAATGACAGTTACCCTTTGAAAGTTTAGTCCTAATGGAGCTAATGAACGCTCCACCATTGAGTTTATGAAGCGTACATCCTTGAAGTGAAGTCCACCGCCCCCGATTTGATCGAAAGCCTGCTGGCTCCGACAGGTGGTCCTGTGCTGGGGAGCAGGTGACCCCTCCACCCTCCTTTCCGTCTACGCTGTCAGTCTCAGTGACAAAGGTGACATTAGGAGCAGGTCCCGCCATGATGGAGGGGGCGTCTGCACAGCATGTACAGCTTTTAATAGCCTTCGCACCCGGATCAGACGAGCAGGCGACACAACGCAGATTCACCCACTTTTGAGTGAGTGGACACATGGTCCGATGCAGGTTTTCTCTCTGGTCTGAAAACACACAGAGTAATTACAAGGTGCCCTCCGGGAAAAAAGAGGATAAATAGTTTGTACTTGATGAGCAGAAGAAATTACCGCAGGTGCTTGACAACGATGACCTCAAATCCTCTTTGGTGACTTCCAGAACCATTTTTTCAAGCATCCTTACTTTTGAAATACTGACTTCAATTTCTATCAATTATAGTATGATGCACAAAAAAAGTAATGATAGGGCGGCAAAGAAGAATTTAATTCATTAGTCTGTTCATTATTTTTTATCAATTAATTGATTCTTAATGAGTCTTTAAAATGTTACACTCCCATTTCCCAGGGCCCATTGTGATGTTCTCAAATCTTTTTTATTTCAAGAAAATTATTATATATCTTTTTTATAAATATATATATATATATAACTCCATCAGAATTTTTTTACTTCCCAATATTAACATTGGCATCGTGTGTGTGATTTCGTGTGTGATTTTTTATTTGTTGCCACTTCCACACTCGGACATGAATCCATCTAACTTCTTTGATTCTTTTACAACCATGCTCTAAAAATAACAGAGTGCAAATGTGAGAAGCCTGCTGTGTTGGAGAGTGCTATAGAAGATATACTGTGCGAACCTGAACCGCAGAACAAACTGGTCTCCCCAGAGTAAACCTAGAGAAAACAGCAATCACTTCTTCTGCTCCTCCTTCCCGTCATCATACCTCTGATGTGCCAGTGTTGAAAACAAGCTGTGGGCTGTAATGGATGCTTTTGCATTGTCATCTCTGTGCTAATTGAAACTGGAATCTGGGGGCGAATAGATCCATTTGGTCAGCCCAGGCTTTTAACTGGGCTTTAATGCACAGAGCCATTTATCTGAGCATAAGCTGCAGTTGAGAAATAGTCAAAGAGGAGAAGGAGAATTTAGGCGGCTTCTGTCGAGGACAGTGAAGATTCTTCTTTGAAAGCAGCTGCTAATAGCTTCTTTGCCTTCAGGATTTTTTTCACTTTGCTAGAGGAAGAGTGAAGGGGGGGGGGGATAAGGATAAGTAAATGTATTCAAGTTTTATTCATATTATGCAGCCAACGGCAAACAGTGTCTGTGATCAATTACGAATGACCAATAAAAACAATGGAAGGAACCTTGAATAAAACTGAGGATTTCTCTGGGTTTGAACATTGATGGAAACTTCTTGGAGAAGAATTGTAACATATTATATCCTTAAAGTTTTTTCAAATTAATTCCATATGTTTTTCTAATAGGTTCAGATTAATGAAACATGATAATGGGAAGCAATGAGTGTAGCCCTAGAGAGCAATATGTTTTTCCATCATGTGATTTTCCATCAAAAACACCACAATGAATAATAGATGGTGTCATGTATAAAAGATTATTTATGCATTATTCACCACTAATAATAGTTTATTCCTGAGGTCTGATATTTGTCGAGCACAAATATCAAATTCAGCTGATAGATATTCCATGAATATTTTATCAGAGCTGAGCTGTGTCAATTATTTGTGTATATCATAATGACGTCTCGTCACATAAGCCCGGACAAAGCGAGCGTGGAGCTCTCGCAGGTTCCCTGAGGTTAAAGCAGATGTCTTTGATTCCAGCTGTACGAGAAAATCTAAATAAGCAGAAGAGAAACAAACAGATCTGTCATAACTATGCTAATTGCTTTGAAATTAAGTCTGTGGGACTGTATATGAATTGTTGCACAAGCTTAATCATGGAGATAAACCCCACGAGACGAATGGATGATTGTTAAATGATGCAGCTGGTGATATTCAACATTTATGTCATCAACTAAATCCCAAAAGAACAAATGTGATATTTTTTTAAAACAGCAAGTCTTTCTTTTCTTGACATAACTTTCTCTAGTCTTTGCCACAGACCTCCACCGTTGCTAACTATTAAAGCCCCTGCACAGCCGTTCTCCACCCACCCTGCCTGATCAGACCTCTTCTCACGAGTGCCTGGATGTGTACAAACTACAGCTGAGCGAGTCGTAAATGTGGCTGCAAAGCTGAATACATTTCTCTGGCTGTGTTTAAACACAGCATCGGTGCTTCCTGTTGTAAAAAATGAACTTGCAATTTCGGGACAATGGACAATAATTGTTTTTTGAGAGGGGACGGGGGGGTCATGACGATGAGCATTATCTAGCCACAGAACAGTGCATTCCATTAGCAGTAGTCTCGTTACTTTACTCAGATGTTTAGTGTGTAGAAGAGCTCAGGTTGCAGTATTGTGGTGACTGTAGGGAGAGATACGGGGCAAGAGCTATAAGCTAACGCAGCCTGAACCTAAGACAGAGAGATGCATTGTTGCCCTCCACCCGATGCCTGCCTGCCTGCCCAGGCGTGTCACCAAGGCGTTTGGGTTCGATGATTGATTGTCTGGATTGATTTTTTTGCTGTGGCTGGCAGTCATGGAGAAATATTACCCGCAGAAAGACATAAGATACTGCCAATGTACCGCCATATACTTGCAGACTCTTTTAAGAGTTATAACCTACTCCGAGATTTAGCTCAAGTCTCTTCTGTTGAGCTACAGCAACAGTGTACATCGAGGATAGATCCAAGAGTTGTGTGGTCAATCAACTTAAAGGGTAATTTATTCTCAAGGTCAGACGTAGGGACGGACAAAGACTTCTGCGTTCATTTTCTTCCGTACTGCACATCTTCCAAAAGCGTACAGACACAAATCCAACATTGGACCACCTTCGTTTACGATTAGAGGTAAATTACCAAAACACTTTTGTCACGTCTGTTGATGTCTGATATCTTCACTACCCTCTAGTGGATGCATTGTTTAACAAAGGATGATTGGAAGCAGTGACGGTTACATAGTTTAAAACCTTTTTTGCATGTAAGGGCGGCAGTAATGTGTGGTAGTGATGTTAATTCTGGACCCTGGTTCTAAATATGCACCACGGTAAAATTTTGGCTATAAACCCTTTGAGTGTACAAGGCCAACAGTGAAAGCATCTTGGAATAATGCATGAACACTAATTAGTATTAACATTCTGAGAGGAGTGCAGCATAACAGAAAATCTAATTTACAACTTTATTAATTTTAAATTACTGTTTATTATTCATAGGGAATTCAGAAAAAATACAGACAAATTAAGGCCATGTTTGTTTAGGAATTTTCTTAAGTCAATTCATAACTGAATAATTATACCAGCCTTATTCTCTCATCTCTACTGACCTGAACTAAAACCTCAGGGACATTATATGAAAATCATACAATAAAAGGCAAATGCCATCAAAAGACAAGGGCTGTGAAAAATAAATGAGGTTCATGACATCTCTATTTTCACCTTTTATTCCCCTGCACGTGTAGCGTCTGGTTCCAATGCTCCCTGTGTCACCCAGCACAATTTACCCACAAAGGACCAGCTGAGAAAACCCCGGCAAACCAAGGATATCTGCACAAACTGCCGCGGTGGGAAGTTGATGAAATGGTTATGCGACATAGTGAAACATCATCCACACATAAGCCAAAACTGCATTTCCATATCCCATTCCTGAAGAGAGAGAAAAAGCGCATTTGAATGAGGAAGGGACACGTGAGGCGTACGACATAAAGCAGGGAATGGAATAATCTAAACTCAGTGACCATACAATCTTTGGAAAATAATAAGGTGACTGGAGTAGGAGGTAGGCAGGGAGGGAGATTGGCAAGATTTTATCACATGAGAGGAAAGACATATTAATCATAGTCCGGGCACAACGGTGAAGAAAGAACTCGGAAAAGGTTAATGTGTGGAAACTGGTGTAATAATGCACACCGTTGGAATACTAAAAAGGCTATGCTAAATATGCAGCGGAGCAATCACAGCACTTTGTTGCATGTCATTGTGCATAAGGTGACGCTACACACAGATTGCTGGAGAGAAAATATGGAGAGTAAAAATGTCCACCACCTGCCAAACAGCATGAATTCAACAATAAAAACCTGAATTGTTTGTCTGTGGGAAGCTCAGCTGGTTAAGGCTGTCAGTTTGAATCTGACTCAGTGCCTCCTGCATGTCATTTGGTTTCGCTCATATTTCCTCCATCTCTGCATAAACTTATAATCTCAAGCATCCTCTAAATGATCATCAAAAACCTAAACTTCAAATAATCGGTCACAAAACCAAGGCGGTCGAGGAGAAAAAAGAAGAAGCAGCGATAACTATTTTCAGTCCCGTCTCTGACTCATTTATGACCATGAGAACGACTATAATGAGACACTGTGGAGGGAACAAAAGCAGAGCTGGAGCAAAATAAATCCAAACTCGAGTGACTCAGCTCAGCTCTTTTGACAGTCCAGAAGGCTACAGGCTTTACATCGCTGTTTCAAATGCAGAATCAAAGAGATTGTGTACTCATCAGCGGGCAACAGAGACGGCCATCCCCCCTCATTGTCTCGCGGCATGGACGTCCTGGCGGCAGACCCTGGTACTTGAAGTGTCATTGTTTCCCACTAATGAATGCAGACAACAATTCAAAAGGCCACGTTGAAAAGTAAAGCGACTTCAAGCAGCTTTTCAAGACCTGCAATTTCAAACTGATAGTAATACATAACGTATTCTTTTGATTTTAACAGCACCTTCTATGGCAACTGATCAAGGATGTTTAACACAGACAGTGGAAATTTGATTGCTTTGTTAATGGGCTTTCAGGTGACTGCTTTTAATTTCATTTGTTGTTTCAGCTCTCTCAGCTTGGACCTCGACAATCACAGCTGCCAAAACGACGACTTAAATCCATCCAATCAAGCAGGTTAGGAATCAACTGACGAGATCAAACGTAACCACTCGGCTGCTCTGAATCATCTGGATCAGAGGGAGCTCGTAGAGTCTGTTCGTCAGAGCCCACAACTGCTCCGTGTGAAAGGGCTGATTCTTTAAATTCATTCAAGAAACAACTTATTACCTAAACTGCCCTGTTCTCAAAAACAATCTCATTCAGGGACGTGAGACGTTTGCAAACCCAAAAAAAACTATTCTAGACATTTGCTGAGCTCACATCAATGCAAATCTGGGCCTCACGACATCAGCATTGCGAATTCCCCCTTTTCTGTGGCGAGAAGGTGTTGTAATAACCATGTAGCTGGTTCAGAACAACAATCCTGGCCTTCCAACGCGATATTGTGCAACATCAATCAGGACTGTGGGTACTAATGGAGCTTCAGTGGCCATCAGAGAAGGGCGGGCGACTGATAGATGAGGGAACACGGCACAAAAAACCCTGTGTACTCACAGAAATACACAAACATGCTCCCATCAGTCTGCATGTAAGTCGTGACATTGGGAGTAATGATAATGTCTTATGAGAGGCATTGAGAATCCAACGTACAACACTGAGATTCACAGAATGAACAACATAGGAGTAACAAAATGGAGTAAGAATAAATAATTTCTATTTACAGTTTTATCTCGATGAAAATATTACTGGCGATGTTCGGGAGGAAGACTATTTAATTAGATCCCTATTAATCACAGTAATTTGCCATTATGCATCCCAGGAGTGTAACTAGCCAATAGCTGCTAACCCTCCGTCTCCATTGCTGCTGTTGTCCTCCAAACTAGTAATGTACTGCTGGGCATAATTTCCAAATGAGTCCCGGGAAGGATTTTCATTGGTTCTCAGTGAGGGGTTGATTATCTCCGACTGTTTATTCATGCAGGGTGGATTATTCCTCAAGAGTACTTTGAATTGGTATCTCAAACAAACACACACATTTTGTTTTGCAATCAACGCAAGCGAGTATCTGAGGGGTTGCACTTTGCTTTTCTGCACAAAGCAGCGTCTGATATTACGGAGAGAAGAGTCGCAGAATAATTGGGCTGGTCTGTGTTTCTACCATCTTGTTTTGTCAGATTAATGCAACATTGAGTAAAATGTTCAGAGGGAACGGCAGCAGAGCGACGACACTACCTTGGTCAAACTGGTTTTCATATCGCCTTGCAATGCAAATAGACTGTGTATAAAGATGGACAACATGAGAGAAGCAAAATCATCTTGATTTAGTATGATACTAAAATATGCATTAAAAACTGTGAACAACATGCAGCAGAAATACAACAATAAAACTTCCAACACTACACTGATTTGCGGACTCCAGTATCCATAACTCAGGACATTTTGGCTTCATTTTTGTACACCAGGAGGAAGTGGAAACCAGTCGTCCATCTTTATATAGAGTCTATGGTCTGTACATACAGCTGGTGCCCCCTACAGGTTAGATATGTAAGGAGGGAAGGAGCACATTTAAGACTGAAGTCAGAGACGGGAGTTTGAACCTTTGAGCTCGAGGAGGCGCTATAGAGGCAACTAAAAACGTATTTAAGAACTCCTTCATCCCAAATGCCAGATTAACCCACACACATTTACATAAACTGGTTTTTAAATCCATCCTATGACCTTGTCCGTGTGTTTGCTTTACTAATTTCCACCTTGTTGGACAATATAAAGATATTTTCTATTCTGGCATTTATAAAAGTACAGTTCACTGAATGAGCTCCAATGAGGCAAAATATTCGTATCTGTTGAAAAATATGAGTCACCGGCTTTCAACACTTGTATTGTATCTGCCACCTCTGCAGGAAGCTGGATTTTAATATGTGCTGCTTAAGCATGAGAATGGCTTGTGAGAGCCACTTTAGAATTGTATTCAGGGTTAAGTATTTTTCTGATTTGACGCCACTTTCAGCAGGACGTCACTTTCTTTTGTAAATGTAAATATCTGGTGCAAAAGTGACTTGGTTAGAATAAGGGAAGAACAGTTAGGGAATAATTGTGGTCATGGCTTTAAGAAACTGTTATTGACTCTCAGCAAGAAGCCGACCACAACGACCTTCTCCCTCAATGGACTTCCTGGCTCGGTAACAACCCAACAGCATTTCCTGTTTTGTTCCCAAAGGGAGAGAACCATAATTCCCACAGCCGCAACAGGACTTTACTCTTGTACTTAATGTTGGTTTTGGACATTTGCTGCAACGACCAACTCTGATCTTTCTGGGAAACTAAACGACTACAGCACTACTGTTGAATGTCAAGTGATATTTTCAAGTCTCTAACCTCGCATTTGCCGTCAAGTAGCTGAGCTGTTTGTGTCACTGATGCCTGTCCCCATCCACTTCATCATTACAGTCTTTTAATTATTTTTGTGAATATTCATGCAAGATCACAGCAAGAGCAATCTTCTGATACCACTGATCCACTATGAGTCAGATGGTTAGCACCCACTAAAACGGCTTAATCAAGTGTTCTTGCTAAGGGTCATGATTGTACTCTGTTTATGTGCCAGGCAGCTCTTCTCTCCGCTCTTTGAGTTTCTGTTATCTGGAGCATTTACACCGCAGCATCGCTATGTGAATGATTAATTTAAATCGCTTTTTTTTTCCCCAATACGACGCAGCCGTCTCGACGGTTCAGTCGGGATTGATTTAGAGTTACTTTTATGTGCTTGTGCCGTGGAAAGCTGTGATATATCTTTATTAATATTACTCTTACTACAGAGAAACACTTCAATTGTCACTAATGAAAAGTACATCTCAAACTGTGCCATTCAACATCATCTGCACAATTAGTAAAGCTGAAACGATGAAAGTGCATCAGCGAAGATTAGACACCTCTCCAGTGTCTGTAATACAAGGCCTGTCAATCAAAGTGAGAGAATCGGGTTTAAAACTGGGCTTTTGTTCTTAATAGACAGGTTACAATTTTGTTTAGAGCACACTGTGTTGAGGAGAAAAAGCGAATATTTACACAGATTTCACACAGCGTCGGTGCAGGGTTGAAATCATCATTCTCCACAAGATGATGATTATAAACTTGTCCCTTTAAGAGAAGCATCGATACTAAAAAGAAATCCACTGCCCAAACCTATTACTTTGAGCTTAATTGCACTATTTCTCAAATTTTTCACTCAACATTGAGTGTGTGGAGAAAATGCTGCTGCTGCCCTTTGTGTAACAAGAGCCATGTTGAACTTCCCGTGAATTAATATTTCAAGGAAAAATATTACATGGGTTGTATGCTAGAAAAACAGCCTCTGTCACAGCCGATATGCAATATTCAAGAGACCAGATCTAAAGCGGGCAAATAAGGGAAAAAAGCAACAATCCTTTCCAAACCCATCAATCCATCTCATCTCGCAGGCTCAAAAAACATGGCACCATTTTTATTTTATTTTAATGAGACCAGCGCACTGACAGAGGAACGCCAAACACAGAGGGCTCCAAAAACATTAAACCTGGCTCAATGTCACCTGGTAACTCGCAGCATCATACATGCAAGACACGTTCCTGGTAGACACGTAAAAGTGCGATGGGCAACTCTCACGTTTGCACTGCAGTCTGTGAGACAGATTCATTTAGTAAGTTGTAAACCCCTCACTCATAGCATCACTGTACAAGCTGCTGACCAGCTTTCAAACTCATCTCTCAAGCCAAACTTCCTGCATCATACCTCCCACAGCTTCCAGCAGCACCACACTGTTCAGGGACGCAGGGAGTCGGTCAGAGCCGGAGGTGTCGAGAGAGTGAATAATGACGTCATATTAAATCCAGCACAGCAGCACATTAATAAGTCTGTATTAATTTGAATGGAATAAACAATTTCGAACAGTTTTGGAACATTTAAACCAAAGCAAATATCAGGGGCATTAGTGAACTATTCCATTTATCCAGGTATTATAACCTTTTTAAGAAATGTTGTTTTTTTAAAGAAGTTGCTGCTGAACACAGCTGAACAGCTCCTTTAAGGTGTATTTTCATGTTTCAGTTAAGTGGACGGAAAGTTTGTAAAGAAATTACACTGAATGTTCAAAAATGAAATCATATTACTAAAAGGTAAAACTGGTTGAGAGGAATGAACCAAAATGTAACACTAGAATATTAAAATAAATGATAACGTATACTTTTATTGATTTGTGGAGTCAACTCTTTCCTTGCAGTTCCAGTTTCTCGCCTGTAGGAGGTGCTGAAGCCTCATCAGCAGCCCTACAAGCATCCCAGATGCCGTTTTTCCCGATACTTCACTTCACACGCATTCATGGACGAGAAAAACCATTGCATCTATGAAAAGTCATGAAGTATTGATAAGCAGCATCTGGAGGAGCATCCAGGTTAAATGAGTGAAGCAGAAATCAGAGAACAGGCGCTCAACAGTTAACGTGTAACTGTGAATTTCACACCAACAACAAACCATCTTGTGTAACAACAGCAAATGTTGAGCTTCCCATTACATTGTGCGTGTTGCAGGGAAATAATCATGTGAGGAGGCTAGTGTGCACAACAACAATCCTGTGTGCATCCCTACAGCAACACAATCCCATCATATATCAGAGCCCCAGGTGTACAATGAGGCAATAGGAAACCCACAAAAAAATATGGCACCTTATGAAGACAAATGGGGCCCAAACTATCCAAGTTATTCTTCACTTTCTTATCCAGCAACAGCATAAAACCTCATAATACATGTGTCGAACCAAAGATAAATGTGCTTGGCCGGTACGGCAAAGTAGCTACTTCATAATTAAACAGACAAATAGCAGCAACACAAGAGAAACAACTGAAAATTTGACTCCAAACACTTTGCACAAGCAGAAAACACTTACCTTTGCTTGGCGTCTGTTTGCATAGAGTCAACACACATCTCACAGTCTTGCGTCACAGACTAGATAACGTTTGCTTGAGATTCATCTCCGCCAACACAACTCGTCCTCCGCAAAGTGTTCCTGAAGTAACATTATTGGACTGTCAGCACGCCGGCTAATGAAGTTCTCTAAACAAACAGAAACACATACCAGAAATTCTGATTTGATGATCCCCTGGGGCCGGGCAATAAAACAATTTCAATAATTATCACAAATGAAGTTTTTATCAACAGCAATATAACGAAAGTCAAATCAAGAGATATAATTCTAATGCATTGTTCAAGCACAGTGAGGAGGTATAACACATCGATCTACCTCAAATGTTTGTGATTCTTTGCTCATAAAGAAGAGATTAAAACCAATATGTGACATTTATCGTCATAATTATCAATTGACTATTATTTCTGGTCGCACAGCAGCAGGATAAAAACAAACCACACGACACTACTTCAACTTTTTAAGTTTAAAATTTAAAAATTTTCTCAAATAACTGCAAGTTGTTCCCTTCTCACACTGAAACATACAGAGTTAAAAAGCATCCTTAACATGTGATTGAAGGTAGTGAATATGTTTTCTGCATAAACACATGTGGTTGATGGTAAGTCAAATTAAATGATCTTATCCTGGTGTGGGTCTTCAGCAGACAGATGCAAGTTAAATGAATGTATGAAAATGTAGGGCTCGATGATACGGCATGAATACTAACAAGATATGGATAATTATCATATAAATATATGAATGGCACATTATTATTTGTGGTCTTAAAGGGAGAACAATGGAGTAGCATTCACTCACCTGCAGGTGTTTCTCCAGGTGTGTGAACAAACTTTACTCTGAGCTGTCACATCAGTTCACAGTCACTGACTTCACAACCTGAAGAGGTCCTGTTTCTTCATCCAGCCACGTGTCGGCTGCACGGCTGGTGTCACGTGGTCTCAGGTGGTCGCAGGTGGTCTGACGTGGTGTGAGGTGGTCGCCGGTGGGCGGGGCAGAAGAAGAGAATGGGAACAGTGCGCATTGATTTGATTGGCAGGTGACAGGTGGTGAGAATTCAAACAGGGAACCAATCAGAGACAGTGAAGGTGAAGGACTTTGATTGGTCTCTAATTCTGGGTCAAAACTCAAGGTGTTCCACTCAGTGCTCCCCCTAGTGGCCTGGAGATTTTGCATTGTGTTAACTTGCTGCATTTCTTCTTCTGATGCTTCTGTTTTCAGGAATGTGTGTTTTTATCGATTGTTCTTTGTATCGCTTTGTATTTATCATTAACTTTTTTCTATTGACTTCTTGCTGTATGCTTTTCATTGGCAGCAACATTTACATTGTTGTGTTTGTTTTGTATTTTGTGTTGTCTGTGTTTTGGAAGTGGCATTGTTTCGGAAATTTCTGCACAGTAGAAATGTTTTGGCGAGATGCACAGTGTTTGGCCTTGTCCGCCGCCGTAAAACCAATATAACAGAAAGATGCAAAGCCACAGATGGAATGTTATATTCTACAATTCTTTTTCAGTAATGGTTCCAGATTATAGATGGATTCATTTTGAATCAGCCTCTGTAACATCATTAAATGTAACTAGTTCTTCTTGCTGTACCCGAGCCCCAGAAAAAATAAAGACAAATAAAGCGTTGAAAAATAGTAACGGTGAATGAGCTTTTAAAACAAAGGGGAGAAAATGACAAAACTTAATAGTTTAAATAAATATAATCAAGGCCTTTTCTGTTCACATTTGAAGAGGCAGGAAAACACAGTTTTAGCCATAATGAACAATATTAGTGAAGGCTGCAGCTGCAGAGCTTTTTAAGCCTCTGAGCACAGACATGTCTCATTCTTTGTGTTTTAAATTGGTTCTGTCATCATTTTTCTGTCATGCTTTTGGTTCAATTTCACTCTGTTTGCAATTAAATTTGAATAAGTCTCAAAAATGAGCAGCAACATAACTTTGGAGGGAGGTTGCAGAGGTAACAGTCAGACAAGTCGATCTCTTCTCTCTCCTGTTTCTTAACCTGAATAATGGATTTCATTGCCCCCATAACTATAAAGAGAGGCTTAGCTCATTATGGTCCATAATCCAATCTGTGAGCTCCCTGAATTGGCAGTGCAATGATATATCAATATCGTCCTTGGTACAGAGAGGGTGGAAATGCAACAAAGCAGCAGAGGAAATGTTAACAAAATCACTGCAAGGGAGGAAGAAAAAAAATATTTCTGGCTCTAAGTGAGCACCAGCTGGGAATACAAGGTTGTAGCAATGTTTCCTCAGTACTCATTCAGTTTGGCTGTCCACCACTGCATAAACATTTCCACCACTACCATGGCAATTTGATTAATGCTAAATACTCCAAGTAAAGCTCTTTGTTAGAAAATGAGCTTTCGGTGCAACTTGCACTGGAAAGAGGATTTACAAATTCAACAGCCACTGTGCAAAAACTATGGATGAAACAATATGTTGTGATGCACATCTAAATAACAAACATCATTTCTGCAAAGACACAACAATGCACTGAAAAAATGTTAAAGGACAAATCACGCCCAACACCATGAAGAATTGGATTCACGAGGAAAAGGCACAGGGATGTTCTGTTGAGCTGTATTGGAAACATTCACCTTTAATATCCCTGTGACATAATGTATATGCTTATATTTATTTTATTTCCTCCTCACTGTCTTGGGCTTCAGACAACGTTCATCAGAGTGAGCACTTACCAACCCACAGCAGAACCTAACATAGTGACAGATGATGTGAACATTGTTTTAGCACATTACCTTTTATTTAAAGATATTACACAAAAATAACGCTAACATAATTTTGCCCTCTAGCTATTTTGATCAAAAGATAATATGCAGACACTGTTCTCAACTGCCAACCAGTTAAATCCCATTTTTACCGATGAATATAACAGATTTAACACTCGTTTTATGTGTTTTTGGACCAAAATCATGAAATTCCATCCCAGGATATATCCCAGGTCAAAAAGCAGCTATTTGTTTGACTAATGTTCCTCTTAATTCTGCTGCAATTGCCCAACAATTTCAACCTTGTTTTGTTTTTTGAGTATTTACTCGCTAATAGGTCATTTAATTGCTCTAAACAAACGCTATCTCTCTGAAACACATTTCTGAGCTGCCCAGTACCCACATCCTTGAACAATGACAAGCTTTCAGAGAGGACAGAATTAAAATTCAAAGGCAAGGCGGTTCATTTTAGTTCCAGGAACCACTGTGTGAAAAACACTTGACTGATTTTAATCACATTCTTATTTTTTTTATTTTTTTTTTCAGCTAAGAGCACAGCATGACTTTTTAAACCCTGGTGATGATTTTCACAGTGTTTTCATAGTGCAACAGCGCCATCTAGTAGGTTTCTTTAGGTGTTTGCAAGGTTCACTGAAGCCATTAGGTATTCACTCTAAAAGCCCTGCATTCACAGAACTGCTGCAATAGCAAACGTTTATTTGCAGAATAGGCTTTTACTAAGAGCACTTTATCTCTCTGTCTTTAATACACTTCACTCAGTTGGGATTATTGCTGTCTACATGTGTCGGCGCTGTTCCGTTATAAGACTGAAGGGATGAACCACAGGATGTGATCGGCATTTGGCAAAAATAACAAAAATCTGTTTGCACATAGTTGCATAATTCCTCTCAGAGGGAGAAACTGGAAAAGTAAACAAAGTAAGTAAGAGTAAGATCTTGTGTCTGGTAGAGATGACCTTCGTTAGGATTCATAACTCAGTCACTTCTGCTGTCAATAATTAGTGTGTAATGAGACATCTGAAATTGAAATAAGGGATTAATTGGTGCCATTGAAATCAACACATTTGAGCACAGATTTATGAGACTTTATTTTTCAAGTCAACTTTATTTCATTGAGCTGGTTATAGAAACATTATGGACATTTCACTATTGATAATCAGGTGCAATAAAATGCTAAATCTTTTATTCTTGAGTAATATGTCTGTATGTTGTGCTTTGCTGCTCTTACACAGCGTACATGCTGGCCCTTACTGCACAACATTAGAAACTCAGGGGTCTTCTCTCCATCATGTTGCTCTAATGAAGCCATTTATACTAACAACAAATGTGGCCGTCCTCTTGCTCGTCTCTTTTATCAACTCCACTCACAGCTGGTGTTCAGGGTGTGTGTTGTGTCTGTGCATTTGTGTGGCCATCATTAAAAATGCATAGCATCTCTCAGAACGTTGTCCTGACAAGCCACTCATGCTCATTGGATATCAGTCATTAAAATTTAGCAGAGGGCAGAGCGCGGCCCGGGTGAGTGTCAGGTTCCTCATTCAGGCTGTGAATGAATTTTTTAAAGTGCGGTCTGCAGGCACCACCGCTGATGTCTCAAGGCTGCCGGTTACGCTCTGACACTGCTGTTGTCTGTCGTTGTCTGGTATCGTAGCTGAGGCGTGACAAAAGCAGAATCAACAATAACAACATGAGTCTCAAGGTGGCTACACTCATTCATTTACTGCTGGTTGTGGAGCGGGCAGATTCTGCAAAAGGTGAGTTTTTATTTGTTATCTTGATGGAGCAATGCTTAAACTTGAAAGGAGTGCTTTATCCTGCAGGTGAAGTTGGACCCCAGTTGATCAGATTTAAGCTTGTATTACATGCACAGAGGTTCTATAGGTTGCAAGAAAACTGTCACAGATAAGTGCAATAACCTTGGTTTACATCTCCACTCTGTGCTGAAACCTCAAAAGGTGTCAAATGTGGAGGAATCCTGGCGGCACCATCCGGCAACATCTCCAGCCCGAACTTCCCAGGCCCGTACCCGTACAACACTGACTGTTCCTGGCTAATAGTGGTGGCCGAGGGCTCCTCCGTCCTCCTCACCTTTCACTACTTTGAGCTGGAGTACCACGCCAACTGCGCTTACGACTACATCAGGATCTACAATGGCATATCGGAGGACGAGGGGAACCTTCTGGGGACATTTTGTGGTGACATCTCTCCACCTCAGTTCACCTCTTCTTGGAATGTCATGTCCATCATCTTCCATTCAGACCGGCACGTGGCCCACAGGGGCTTCAGCGTTGGCTACAGAAAGGGTAACGTGTCATTGTGTTTGATGCAATATGACATCAAACTAACTGGCTGAAACTTGATCAGACTTTTTCTGGCCTAGAAGGAATAGCATAACTTTAAGGCATTTGGCTAATACCTTGACTGTAAACCTCAACAAAACATTACACAGGAACATGATAAAGAATCTCAGGGCACATTTGAAGCTCTTTGTAATATAACGCTCACAATATCATCATGATCATAATGCAAATGTTAGCATGCTGATGGTTAGCTGCATGGTTTACCATTTTCATCTTTATTTTGCTAGCATGTTTGCATCTGCAAAATAGCATTGGCTGATCCAAATTGGTCAAAAAATGTATTATGGTTAAATCAGGAGATTTAATCAGAAATACTAGAACAAGCTTTACAAAGTGGTGCAAGTCAGGGAAGTAACAATAATACAATCCAATAATAAAGCCGGGTGACGTGGGGCAAGGAGTCCAGAGTTGTGTCCAGATGAGGGTTGTTTCCAGAGGGAGAGCAGGGGATGTGTGGCTGGTTGGGAACAAGCTGAGCCAGCCGAAGTATGAATACCACAACCTACGCTAACGTTCTGGCAGAGAAGTGGTGAACAAAGCCAGTCCTTGCAGGTGAGCCGGATGATAGGATGATGAATTGTCGGAAGGAGAGGAACCAGAGACACCTAACCAGCAAGTCACTCTGTCAAACAGAACAGGGACAGGGCAAACATGAACAAACCCGGAAGTATCCACAAAAAAGTGCCAGAATATCTGCCAGGAAACTTCATATGTACTAAATGTCATGGCAACAGTTGTTAGATTAGTCACTCAGAACCACAACTAACAATCTTACGGTGGCACCATTAGAAAGGTCAGGTGATCACCAGACATTAGGGTTCATCTCCTGGGGACCAACTCCCTTACTAAACCACATGAATAGGTACAGCAAATTAAGTCACCAGTGTTCTACCAATGTTACATGTAAATACTTATAGTTGTCCATCCTGTCTTGTAGACCAAATTATTTAACTTTTCCAGTTCTGTCCTCTCTAGAGGTTCTTGTAGCTATGAAGATCATGTGTAGTGTTCCTGTGTGCGAGTTTGTCTTCTTTTGTCTCCAGATATGTGTGGTGGAGTCCTCACTGGCCTGTCAGGTATAATCTCCAGTCCAGGCTACCCTGAGGAGTACAGCAACAACGCTGACTGCTCTTGGACCATCCACATGTCCAACACCAGTGTGGTCACCCTCGTCTTCTTGGACTTTCAGCTGGAAAACAATGAGGGATGTAATTTTGACTTTGTCGCCCTATTTGATGGTCCGACAGTCACTCACCGGCACCTGGACAAATTCTGCGGGGCAGATAAACCTCCCAACATAGTCACCACCTCAAACCAGCTTCTGGTCGTCTTCAAGTCTGACTTCAACATTGGGGGACGAGGGTTCAAGGCGTACTATTACTCAGGTAGCACGGTTTAATTAAGTTTAATTAAGTCTTCACACCAATGTACTGACATTTTTTATGTAACTGCAAGAATTGGTCAGTTTGCAACAATGTGAGTTTAGACAAACATACAACAAACATTGACAAAAGTCTGATTTATTCACCCATTCAGATGAGAGAGTTAGATTTTATGTAGAATAAAAGCCAAGTGAGAAGATGCTACATATCTGTAGAACAGCAAACACCTCTCTGCGGGAAAATTAATTTGACTAAAGCAAGAAGTAACTTGAACACTCGCACAGTAGAGATCGTATCTAGGTCCCACCGATACACACACTTGACTAAAGGAGAATCTGTCTCAGCTGTCAATCATTACATTTCAACCTGTTTTTATAGCAACAATTTAAACTTACAGGCAGAAATGAGCACATTTCACTAGATCTTGGCCGGGCACAGCGACCAGGTGAGCTGTTTTCCTATATTTCCAGCCTCTGCGCTAAGATAAACTAATGAGATGGGGGCTGTCGCTTCACATTTATTAAACCTGAAAGTTGTATCGATCTTCTCATTTACCTCTTGGCAAGAACGGAACTGAACTGAGCACAGTGTAGCAGACTATTATAATAAATACATTTGGCTAACTTGTCTGCTCTACTGTATTTTTCACAGGTGAATGTCAGCAGTTCCTGTCAGCTGTAAGTGGCAACTTCAGCAGCCCACATTTCCCCAGCATCTACCCGAACAACATCAACTGCCACTGGAGCATCACTCTGGCAGCTGGATATCGCATCAAACTCTTCTTCCCCGTGATGGACTTGGAGGATCGCAACAGTCTGTCAGACGAGTGCGACTATGACTCGGTTGCAGTTTATGACGGGGACAGTCAGACGAACGTGCTGCTGGGACGCTGGTGTGGCAGAGAGCATCCACCCTCTCTCATCTCAAAGGGTAACAAGCTGCTGGTGGTGCTCAGCACAGACAGAAATGAAGCTCACAGAGGGTTCACGGCATCTTATCTTGGAGGTAATATACTGAATTAAAGGGATAGTTCACCCAGAAATGAAAATTCACTCATTATCTCCCCACCACTATGCAGATGGAGGGCTGTGAGTCTAAAAAACACTAATGGAGTATCAGGGGAAACAGCGTTGCAGCCAAATCTGAAACAATTGAAGTCAATGGTGACCACTTCTTCAAACGTATAAAAGCAACAGAAGAAAAAACATTAAATGCCCACGTACTGCTCCTGTGGTGTCATCCAAGTGTCCATAAGCCCCGACATTCAAATTCAACTCGAAACGGCGAAATGGACACCATGTTTTTAACCTTAATGTCCTCTGTTATCCTTCTAGCCCAAAGCCGCGTTCACAGAATGTACAAACACTTCACTCACCTCTCCGTCTGCATAGTCGTGAGTAGAAATCGAGTGAATTAAAATTTTTGGGTGAACTATCCCTTCAAGCACTATATCTCATTTTCTGTGTTTTAGATTTAGATAACTTTCCCTCTACTTCAAATGTTTTCAGTCAAAATCTCAGTTTAACATCGTCCTTGATTATTGTCTGAAATGCTAAATGACCGTCTCTACAAAATACTCTTTTCCATGTCGTTCTCACAAACAGTATGTTGATCTTAAAAAAAGTCAACTGTCTTTTTTCCCCTACAATCCAAGTGGTACCTGTAAACGTTAGCTGTACAAGATCAGAATTCACCATTTTGATACCCCAGCAGTCCCTACCTCAGCTGGACCGTGAGAGCATCTACCTGGGAAACCCGACCTGTGCAGCCCAGTTAACGGCCACCTCGTATAAGATACTCGCTCAGTTTGTCAACTGTGGTACAGCCGGCCAGGTGACCAGCCACGATCTCATGCCTCCATTATGAGCAATGATTCACGCTATAACAGTTTAAGACAATGATTTGTGCTTTGCCTCTGTTAAAAACTGTAACTCCTGATCCCACGCAGAAATTTCGGAACGTCACCATGCTGGTGAACAAGCTCTACATCGATTTCTCTGATGGGAAGCAGCAGAATGTGCAAGAGTATAAGGTGCAGTGTGACGCCCTGCGGAAGATAGCATCGGTGTCCATCATTACGGCGGAGGAGCGTCGTCTCGAAGAGCAGGCCCAACAAACTGACAACAGTGGCGGCGGCAACGTAGGACAGCCGGAATCTGAGCCTCACGATTTGAGCGATATCGTCTTCATCAGCATCTGTGTTCTGGCTGTTATTCTCATGGTGATAGCTATTGTTTGGCTGGTGTTGCTGTAGTAATATATACTGTTCATAAAAATATTATTCAGCTAAAGAAAGGACTTGATGAAGTTGTTCTAGTTCAAATCATATTTTATATAAAAAGGTTCAACAACAGTAGAAAATCAAAGCATCTATCAACAAAAACATCATACATGATCACGACAGATTTAGCATTATCATCACCACCAACAATAAAATGTATTTTCTTCAGTATGAATTATGCACAGTTAAACAACAGTGCAAGAGTATGTGCCACAAAATGTTAAAATATTTTGTATTTCCTTTGCAGAAAATAAAAAAAATGTAATTTGAAAAAAACTATTTGTGTGTGCGTCTAAAAACTTAAACCAGAAGTCTGTGACATGCAGTCAGAGGCACAGCCTTGTTCTTCTTCAGCTATTTCTTATATTTAGAAACCAGCTGGTTAACTGAAAATGTCTTGTCCTTCACTTGAGCTCGGATCTCAGGGTTGTGCTTGAAGGCAAACACCAGCGCTCGAACAGTCCGTCTGTATGAACCACTGACTAACCGGGAACTCTGGTGAAACACTTCTCTCTCCATGACGTCTATAAGACCAGAGTCCTCCTGTGAGTCAGAGAGATGAGAAGAAAACTCATACATTACTTCAAACGTTACTGTTACGTTCATATGCATGTTTTGGAAAATCAAATATGTGATTTGAAAAAGGGGGATGATTTGAGTTGCAAAAGGAGAAAAGCAAAGATTTCAATTTCACTCTACAGAGTCTTAAACAGTGATGAACACAGAAAGTGCTGGATCTTATTTGATGGGAGTTAAAATGTTCAAACTACTGCATCAGAAAGTGTTTTCCTAAACTAAAGGAATCATTGAACTGCGAAAAATTGCAATCTGTATGTGTGTTGATGGGATTTTACCTCAGATGCCCCACAAGCTAGGTTTTATAGTCTATCCATACTTCATTCTCTTTATTCTCCATTAATTTATACTCTCATGATTTCACAACCAGCAGTGGAATAAAAAGAGGAGTTGAACATAAATGCTTTTACTGAGCTGCTCTTCCTCACCTTGACCTCCAGGGCTTCAGACATTAGTCTTCTGGCGTTGCTCCTGAGTCCTTCGGATTGTTTGTCGGAGCGCACCTCAATAGACGGCTTATTGGAATTCTCCTCGACGAACGTCCTCCAGTCGGTGTAAACCTTTGCTGCCATTGAACTCACCTCAGGGTCCAGATGCTTTCGCATTTTGTTCACAGTGTGGCCTTAGAGGAGACAGATTTTCATTTTGTGCTTAGCTGTGTGAGTTGGATAACCTGGCAGGTACGAGGCAAACACTTTGAATAGCTGAGCTGTAACAGATCAGTGAAAGCTGATTGTTCATTCTGTGGGTTTAAATTGACTCAGCAAACAGGAAATAAAATGCTAATCCAACATACATAACAGAGCCTGAGCGATATATCTTTAGGCCCATATGAGCATTTCACAGATATATATTTATATCAGCATTTATGTTTGCTAATATGAAAACTTTTAAGCTGTTTTCAGACGTGAACTGTGGACTCTACAAAGGTAGTCTGGATCCTCTCACTTGGACGTCAGTGCAGCATCTTTTAACAGGCTGAACAATGCAGAATAGATGTGCATTTGTGTTTATATTTTACATTCAGAAATATTGACCTATTTCAAGGTCTATTTATATCTTTTATTTATGTTTCCTTATGTTTCACAGACAAGCAGAAATGTGTCCAACATATTGCTATTGGACATTTTCATGGCCCCAGAATTGTAAAAGCACGAGGCCCCAAAAATGACATATGGTCAGGCTGCAATATTTACAGTGACATTTATAAATATTTATGAGGATGGCATTATTCCATTACTCAAAACCCACCACATCAGAACTGCTTTTCCTTTTTTGTAAATAATTATGTGTGTTTAACATTAATGGTTCATTTTAACCTGTGCGCAGCGTCTTAGAGCCCTGAAGAGTGTGTATTGTAGAAGGGGATATATGAATGAAATCCATGATCAGTAGCACTCAGGGAAATAAGGATGTTTTGAATCGTACCTATTTTGGTGGACCGCAGCACCTGAGTGGACGGGATCTTCTTGCTCAGCTCTGTCAGGGCCGTCAGCAGGTTGTCTCTGCTCTGTTCAGGAAGCTCCAACATGGCTTTGTATCGCATGATGTCCTCAATCACCACCACCCTCTGTGAGACACACATTCAGTGGACATGAGGACATAAACCAGTCCCCCTGCGGTTGCACTGATTTAACCACAACTCACCCTTAAAGACTCGATGGTGGTTTGTTTGTAAACCCTCTCGTTGCTTTTAGATTTAGCAGCCGGTTCTCCTCTGGGGAGCTTCACCACGAACTTGTCCATCTTCAGGAAGAGAGGCTCTCTGGTTCGAGAGCTAAGTTCAAGCTAGAAAATGCTAACCGCTGTTAGCGTTACCGAGCTAGCTCTGTCATTTGAAATGAAGTATCTCAGACGCTTGGATCAGCTCGTACAAAGAGATTCTAACACACTCCTCCCGTTAATGTTCGTTCTTCCAGCGGCGACGGTGAAAAAAGTTCTGTTTGGTAAAGAGCTAACAGCGGACCAGATGCTAAAAACAGAGGAGGCTAATGGTGCATTCAAGGGCTATCGGAAAAATATAGAGAGAGTGATTGAGAGACAGAGATTGATTGATTGGTTTATAATAGCATGTGACTCCTGACTGGACAGATGTGACAGAGAAGAAATCAGTCGAACATGTGAGGATTCAGTACTGACTCGTGTCCTGAGAATAAAACAGCTGTCTGTGTTTACATCCAGGTGCAACTAACAGGGTTTGTTCTGCAAAGGATTGTGGGGCAGCATTTTCTCCCCTTTCCTTTCACCGACGACGGTGTGATGGTTCCTACGCTGAAGGAGATAAGCTAGGAAGCAATGGGGCTCCTTGTCTTGCCCTTCAGAGAATTCAAACAGCTCGTATTATGGTCATTTCATGAATTTACCCGGAGCCCTTAAACATAGCAGAACGCAAACCTCGCAGAGTCTCGCGCGATAACGGAGCGATTAAATAGGCGGAAGTGCAGCGTCGTGTTTGTTTAGGTTTTTTACAAGATGGGGACCGTGTCCTGCTTCGTCTGCGTCTCTGGACTCTTCGCGCTCCTGTGCAGCTCGTCTTGCTCTGCGGACGTGTTCAGCAGCGTCCTGGGAAGCAGCGCGTCCTGTCTCCGGTCATGTGAAATGACCTACAGTCTGCACACCTACCCACGGGTGAGTGTTGCCTCCCCGCTCGTGCTAGCTGCAGCTAACCGACGCGCAGGCCTGCGTGGCTCATTGTTTTTAAAAGAACAAGCTGCCGTTTGCGTCTAACGTGGAGATGCGCCATGTTTTCCAGAGGCTTCGTGCTCACATCGCCCCGTTACTGTTTTGCAGGAGGAGGAATTCTTCGCCTGTCAGAGGGGCTGTCGTCTCTTCTCCATCTGCCAGTTTGTCCGTGAGAGCGAGGATCTGAATCAGACCAAGTCCGAGTGTGAATCCAGTGAGTCATCACACGTGTCCTGTCAGGCCAGCGTGCTCCCACAGTCAACACACACTTTCAAAACACACGACGAGCCTGACGTGTACACACTCCACCTCATAAGGAGACCTGCTCCTAATCAGCCGTTTGTCCTTTTGTCTGTAATCCTGTTTCACCATGTGTCCCTTCTCACCACCTCTGCACTCCTGCAGCCTGTCAAGAAGCCTACACACACACTGATGAGCAGTATGCATGTAACCTGGGCTGTCAGAGTCAGCTTCCCTTTGCAGAGCAGCGGCACGAGCAGGTACGAGTATCAAACACTCTGCAAGAGAGAGGAGATAACACTTTATTGATCACACACTGGGGGATTCATTCGTCACAGCAGCACACAAGTCAGAATCAGGCAAACAAGAGAATTGGAGAAGGTATATGGTGATTCACCCTATAGGTATAAGAACGAAAATAGAGAATATGTACAACTGTGAACCCAGAAATAGTTTTGTATTGAAGTGTAGTGACACAGGATGATGGCACAAGGATTTAATATATATATATAAATGATAGGCAGGTATAGAATCCACAAAAACAACTGTTTACAGTTTGGTTTTTTGGTTTTCAGTTGGAGGCCATGATGCCAAGGATTCACCTGCTCTTCCCCCTCACGCTGGTGAGAGGATTTTGGGATGATGTCATGAGTCAGGCTCACAGCCTTATCACCTCCTCATGGACGTTCTACCTCCAGGCTGATGATGGCAAAGTTGTTATTTTCCAGGTACAGAACTTAAAGGTCGAAGTGATTTAATGTCATATCCGTGAAGCAAACACGCCTTATCCTGTTACTGTGCAAATATAATCAAGGAACCTATTGCAACAAATTCTTGTTCTTTGTTTAACAGACTGAACCACAAGTCAAGTTCTTCTCCCAGGTTGATCTGGTAAAAGATGTTAAAGAGGAACCAGAAAAGAGCCGTAAGCCTTCCTTTCAAATTTTCTTGAATTCCACTTAAGGGGTAAAACTAGTGATATTTTCTACCTGTCTTCTATATATTTGGTTGTATTTGTCAGAGTATTAGTTAAGCTATTTATATATTTAAATAATATAAATAATGGTTTATCTGTAAAATATCAAGACTCGTTAAAATTTGTATTCATAAGGTAATAATGACACATCATTGCATAGATGCCACATCATTACACTGAATCCCCCTTTTCCACATTGGAGAATGGGTTCTGTTGCAGCTCAATGAACATTTATACAATGTTACTCTAGTGCGAATACTGAGGACATCAGTGGATGTGTTGTATTCTGCAGGTTGAGCTCTGAGGTGCACAGCCCTTATGACACATCTTTGATTACAGGACCGGTTAGTTAAGTCTTGACTGGTTCACTGAATGGCTCCAAGGTTCCCTGATGCAGACTAACTGGCTTTATAACCACAAACATTTTTTTGTTAGTCTCACATACACCAGGAGTAATGTTTTCCAGAACTAACTTTTACTTCTCAATTTCTAGTCCCTTCGTTTAGCGACCCAGTTTACAAAGAATACCATCGCGCTTTAATCCAGGAGCGGGACAGAGACATGCCCGGGGACCGCAGCTATGATGAATACAACCTCTTCAGCTGTCTGTCAAGGTCAGTTGAAAGAATCTGTATCAAGCATTCACTTTGACTCTGATAAGCATTTAGAGGTCGCTGTGGAGCAAATCATTTCACCCATTTCAAAGTTGTATAAAATCAATATGTGGCAGTCTGTGTTTAAATTGTAGCCAAAAATGGATCAATGTGTATGAAACTGAGAATTGTAATAATATGTATAGGTCTGGACAGGGTTACTCAGTAGAGCCAGACAGAAGATCTCATCTCAATGGAACCACACAAACAAGTTATTTGTACTTTTCTTGTCAGGAACCCGTGGCTGCCTGGGTGGATCCTGACCACAACTCTGGTCCTGTCTGTGTTGGTCCTGATCTGGATCTGCTGTGCCACTGTAGCAACTGCTGTAGACCAGTATGTACCTGCTGAGGTAAGTTCTGTGCAGCCTGTGGTTAACATGCAAGCTCAATTTTGCAAAATGTATGTACACATAGACGAGACTGTATTAGCTCAGCATATAGAAGGTAATGAGGAAACGGCCAGCTCTGCCTGTAACACAATCTTTTTTTGAGTCTTGTTAAATTACCTTTGCAGATTAGTTACTTTTATTTGTTTGTAATTTCCTTTCTGCAGGCTGTGATTTTCTTTAGGACTAGACTGACACTCATCAGTCCTCTTACGAGAGSCACATTTAAATTCACCACGTTGCACACACTCATAGATATAGACCCTTAAACATGCCTGATTTTTTTTTTCTTTATTCATCCAGATCCATTATTGATACTCTGAGAAATTGCTTTTTTCTCCAACATATACCACACCCTTCCACCAAGGTCATGGAAATCTGTCCAGTAGTTTTTATGTAATGCAGTTAATGCAGACAAAAACATCACCTCCTTGGTGGAGAACATACAGTGGACACTGCTGTAGACCTGCTTATAGTGATCACAGATATAGTAATCAACCATTTATATGGATCAAAAAGCTTTGTGACAGAATTGCTCCTATACAACTGCTATCCAGTCACAATGAGTGCAAGAGTACATGTGTTGGTGCGAGAGACAGGCTGACTTAATGAATACATGCGTGTAGCCATGAAGAAATATTGTACTTAATAAGAAAAGTATGAATCGATATATAGCTCTCTCTCGTAATGTTTTTCTTTCTTTCCTTCCCTTGTTCCTAACATTAAGCCGAGTCAGTGTTATACTGCCATGGCCTCTAAAGCTCCCTCAGTTTCATAGAGGAGCTTTGAGGCCGATTTTCTTGCTATTTGTATTTCAACATTTCAGTAATTTCCTTTTTGGCTCTCAGAAATTGAGCATCTATGGTGACAGTGACTGTATCAAGGAGCAGAAACTGACTCCATATCCAGCCTCCTCCCTGCTGATCATCACCTCCACAGGGCCAGATGAAGAGGCAGGGCCACTCCCTTCCAAAGTCAACCTGGGCCAGTCCGACATCTAGAAGCCAAAGCTGTAGCAGAGAAGGGACATTTTCCTTTATGAATTATCTTTAGTTGATTTTTTTTTATCCTCTGGCACAAGACCTGTACTTCTTGGGCTTGTAACAGGATCAAGAACTTGGAGAACATTTTGTATAACTCATACGTCTTGTCTCCCTTTTAAAATTGGAGTAATGAAAATAAGGTTTTTTTTCTGTATATTGTTATAATTGAGGCATTATAGTAAAGTGATGACTGTAGAAGTCAAATCGGTTTTGGGTTTTTCTCATGTGTGCATTAGGTGTGTACTTATTTTACTGAATAATGTTTAAATTAACTGCTTGACTTGAACTGATGCAGGTTTCACCCACAATCTCAACTCTTGGTAATATGGATTGTGCTAATGTTGCAGATTCACAGCTGTTCTTATGTTTCTACTGCAGTAACTTCCAGAATATATTGAATTGTACAATAAAATCCTATGCTCTTGATCTTAACAGTGATGGTACATGCAGTAGGTCCTTCCCACCGTTTTCTATTCTTGTAATGATGGTTCAACAATAAATACAGTGGAGTGAAGTTGTTTGTATGGGTGTGACTTTATTTCAACCATTACACACACTGTAGCTAACATTTATTATGCTGTAATTTTCAAAACACAGTTACAAACTGCTTTACATAGTTGAAATTGGATTCAAATGATAATGACTAAAGAAAATTAGACCGGGGATGAAAATAATACAGAATTTAAAAGTTAAAATTTAGCAGTGCTAGAACTGAGGAGCCTTGTCTGCAATGAATCCAATGAATCACTTATTTGGCGGCCTAAAGATGCAGAACTTTTGCTGAAACTTGAAAGAAAGAATTTTACTTATCAAATGGTTTTCACATAGGGGTGTGCCAAATTGACTTTATAGCGCCCCCTGAAGTGCAGGCCCTGCGGTACCTCTTACTAAAATGCACTAAAATAGTTGGGCATGTCTCATGACGAGATGTACAAAAAAGTCTGGGGGACCTTTATTCCAAACCTAACAGAAAGTCAGCTGTTGAACGTTGTTGCATTAGCAATTCACCAAAAGTTGATTCTCCGTTTTTATAATTGATCACATTTTTGGGGGCAAAACATGCTCAAAAAGTCACGAAACTCATTACATATGTTGGAACACGGTGTAAGAACCCAAATAGCTTGTGACTCCTGTAGTAGACCCTCAACAGCTGGACAATCTTGTAGATGAACCCTAACAGCTGCAGACTGCTGTAGGTCCATGAGGTCCTCCTCTTGACCTCTGAGGTGGACCTGAGAGCTTGAATTCTGCTTCTACTTCTGTTCCATCAAGGCCAGAAACCAGAGGAGTTTATCACTCTAGGTCATAGGTCACCAATAGGCAGGCCATGGTCGGGACCCAGATCTATTATTCGACTTTGATGCAGGCATTTCACAACTTTTTTCGCATTTATMGTTGTCTATAACTTACATAGCATTTGTTCTCTTTAGTAGTAAATCCTGGCAGCACGAGGTAGAGCTT